TTAGATGAAGGAGTAATGGAACAATACGTGCAGCTAGTGAGCATATTCCAACACCTAATTTACTCCCTTCACGAGGGGTAAAAGGACATAACTTCATATTGTCAATTATCAGGTTTGAAATACCGTACCCTCTGTGAATGGCCTGCTGACACCTGGGCTACTAGGTTAGGATATTGATATTTTTGGTAATGACTTTGCAATATCTATGGCAACTTTGTCGCAGGTATCATATGTAATTATAACCTACTGAGAAGGCAATCCTTAAAGCATATCATAAAAACCACTTAATTCTTACAGGAAAGATTTCAGGTAATGCCCACCATACAGCCTGGCCAGAACTTTTCAGCAGTTACAGGTAACACTCTTTCGTTTGTTCGTACTTTTGAGATAGAGTGTTCATGGATTGATCGCAGTTAGAATCTCTTAGAGACTTCATGGTTGTGAACAGTTCCTGACAGCTCTTCCCCATCAGATACGAAACATTCACAGGAGAAAGTAACCTGATTAGAAGCTGAGAAAGTTGCTGAGGCTGCTGACCTGTAGTGGAGGCTCACAATTCCTATAAAGCTAATGGGATCGAGCCTAAGCGAGCGAGACGGGTTTTTTTTTTTTTTCTTTTTTTTTTCATCGACTTAAGAAATCAAAGCCTCTAGTGGAAAAGTAAAATGACTTCTTTTATTCCTGTTGTCATTGGTGTGGTGTTAAAGGGACATAAAGTCCAGAATGTCCTTCTAAGAAGGTGTCCAAAAAGTTGGAAGATCTTTTAAAGGACGTAATGACCGAAGCACCCTTCTGTTCAGGAATCAGTTAATGGATTTAATGTATCTGCCATTTTACGAGACACTGGATGCATTATGTATAGTCATTTCTAATATGCTGTTCCCTAACCTTACATAAACTCATACCTCTGCTATACTTTCAGACTACTTGGGCACGTAACGGACCCACTTTTCCTACCATCGTTGTTATATTAGGTATAAAATGGTTCACAGGTTGGAGTCTGAAGCCGTACTAGCTCCCATCACTTCTTGCTCCGTATAATAGGTAATGTAAAAGGTGCCATTCTTCCTTCTGAGGTTGACCTTTCATCACGAAGGTGGAACATTAGCTACTGTCGCAGGAGTGGGGGGGTATCCTCGTCCTGTAGAGGTCAGAGAGCCCCTCGAAAGTTCAAGATGAGACAATGTCTCGTGAGATTCATGTGGGATTAAAACCAGTATGCTACTCTCGAAATCGAGGTAGTAGGATCACGGTTCACTTGTTAGTGAAAGTGAAGATATCACATCCGATATATTTAAATGTCTTGACTAGGGCTCAGGACCAAACCCCAGGCTTCTCCTACTATCCGTCACTTTGGTTTTCCCTGACTTATTTAAGCCTTAGATATATCGATGGACTCCTTTGTCAATTTACAAACGTTATTGCTTCTTCAGAATTGCCATAATGCCGCTAAACAAAATCAGTTATCCAAAGGAAAAACTTTTTCATTATAAATTTGATTATATAAAAAGGTTATCTTGTACAAGTCAGTATTCAAATTAAATTCAGATGAGATAGATATTACATGTTAGTTGTTCCAGTCAATGCAGAGAGACTGTTTCTTAAAATGGCTCTTGATCTGCCAGTGGCCCCGGACATTTCTCGCAAATCGTTAAAACTTAAATAAAATTAGGGAAACCCATTTTTGGCCTAAAATGTCCTCAGATGTCACTACCTATTGTGAATCGTGTAAAGTTTGCCAACATGTCATCCTCCGAGGTCCAGAGCGTAAGTACTATGGTCAAAATGCAGTTTTACGGTACCCTTTGAAAGAGTAGCCATTGACATCGTTGGTCCTTTTATCTCCACTTTCATCTGGGGGACATAGATATATATTATCACATTGTTGATTATGCTTCGAGTTTCCTGAAGCCATACCTTAAAGACCATAACCACTACAGATGGTGGCTGAAAGCCCTTTTGTCTCTTCTCCAGACCGGGGCATCCTAGAAATATTTTGGTCTGACCGTGGGACACAAAATTACATCTGACTTAATGCCAACATCTATACCAACTTCTGGGAGTGAAGCTTCTTCACCACACCCTATTCATCCCTGCAGTAATGGGAGGAATTGGAGCACCAGCATTCGATTTCTCAAGTCCATTTTAAGGAAACTTTGCTCCCTTAAACCTAAGAGTGGCATCTTACCTACCCTGTGCTTTGTTTGCCTGAGTGGAAGTTCCGAGTGTACTCTTTGGGGTTTTCACCTTTGAACTTATCTTGGTAGACAGGCCAGAGGACCATTGCTCATCATTCATGACTTAAGGACTAATGAGGGAGTTAGTGCTGAGAGTTCAGTCTTTACCAGTTTCTTCTTGAACATTAGATCTCAAACTTGAGGAGACCTGAAATGTTTGAAAAACTTAAGCTTGTCAATGGACCAGTACAAAACCTATTTTGATTCCAAAAGTCAGAGGAGAAGTTTTAAAGTAGGGGATGAAGGTCTGTACTTTTGCCTATCAAGTCAAATAAATATTAGTGAGATGGAAAGGTCCATATAAAGTATTAAAAATTTGTTGGGAAAGTTGGCTACCTCATAGAAGACAAGGGGAAACCTAAAGTTTTTTCATATCAACGCCTTAGAAATTCGGTTAACTGCCTTAATAACTTTGACTTTAGTTTTTCCACACGGAACTTGATAGATCAACTGAAAATGTTAGGTGTTTGTAATACACTCTAATTAGACTTATGATGAGAAACTACATGACTTGTGACTCTTGATCACTCGGCGCAACCAACTTTAATATTAATGAATCTTCGGATGATCATAAGAGACATGAAATACTTTCAAAATGTGTGAGTAACTTTTCAGACGTTTCTTTTACTGATATTACAGGGGTTACCTCAACCGGTAGTAGTCCATAAGATTGACTTAGTGACGGACATCCTATCAAACGAAAATTATACCAGTTCCAGTCACCTAGGGATGCATTTTGACCGAGAGGTAGACAAAATTTATTAAACTAAAGCTCATTGAACCTTCAGTATCTGATTATTGCTCACCAGTAGTCATGGTAAGAAGGAGGGATAATTTCATATAGACTTTCTATTGACTTCAGAGGCCTTAATGCTATAACTCGGTGGGGATGCTGAGCCTATCCTTAATAGATAGCGATTAACAAATTTTATGACTCTACCTTCTTTTCAGAGATTGATATTGCGCGGCCATATCATAAGTAATGTAAGATCTTCTTCTAAGCAGTACACCGCTTTTTCCTGCACACCAAGGACTGATGCAATATAGAACTATGTCCTTCGGGTTGGTAACTGTCTGTGCTGCCTACGTGACGACGATGAGAAAGGTCTTGGGTAATATGCCAAATGTTTCAAGTTTATTCTGATAACATTTACGTAATGACCATCCACGTGGGAGCGAACACATCCAAACATTAACATGTCAGTTTTGCGTAGGTTACGCTCACATGGCCTCAATCCCCCCCCCCCCCGCCCGATGAAAGAAATGCTTTCCTTGGGTATAACAAGATTAAATATCTTGGACTGATACTTTCTAATAACTCTCTGGAGCTCTCCCGGAGTAAGATCAAAGGTTTATTAGAATTTAGATCCCCAAAACAAGAAGCTAATGCATAGCTTCTGGTGTTCTGTAAATTTTTATGCGGTTTATCCGACCATTACTGATCTTACAGGATTCTTATCGACTTCATTAAAAGTTCTGTGAACAAACCTCTTGAACTTTCGACGTTGCTCGGGAAAAGTTTAATGAGATTAAAAGTATCTTTCGAAAGACCCTTTACTTAAGATTCAGAATATTAATAAAACATTTTGGAGTTTAAGAATGACGGACTCCAATACTGGGCTTAGGTGCCGGTGTTACTACAATACATTGATGTACTCCCTTCCTGTATGCTTCCTTAAGCCGGGAAAACTCCTTCCGCAGAAACCGAGAATACTCCACCATTGAAAAGGAAATGTTTGGCCCTGTGTGGGTTTCTACAAACTTAATTTTATTTGGCTGGGAAAAGAATTCATTTAGGATACGGACACATACCTTTTGATATACCTAGAAACTTTTAGGGGAACCAACAGGTCACCTTCTTGAGGGGACATTGGCACTCCAGGCTTTTAAAGTTCCATATTGTGTTATATCAATGGGTTCATCCAATTATTTCTCTGACTGGTTAAGTCGTGACAGTCAGTAGAAGATTTGTTGCCTTATGCGACTTCCACATGTTAGAACTTTTTCCTCGCCTATTCTTCTTATATTCCTTGACTATAACTCTTGGTATGGGGGAGTTTGAGGGAAAAGTTCAATAGATAGGAGTAGCGAGGGAGTGTATAGTAACAATAGTTTCATTGCCGGCTACTTGTTAAGGTAAGGTAAGTCTAGCTCCCGCTACTCCCGCCTTTTCTCCCCCACCACTAAAGTGATAGTTTGATTGCCGGCTGCTTGTTAAGGTAGGGTCAGTCTAGCTCCCGCTATCCCTTTCCCTCCTTCTCCCCCCCCCCCTCGAAAGGTGACGTGTGGGGCTCCAGTCCAAACAGTAATCACTAGACTCACAGTTCCCAGCACTACTGTAGGTACATTCCAGCCTTAGTAATACTGACTGAAGTTGTTACAGGGCTGAGTAACCCTTCACAATTTACGACAATTCAAAGAATTCATGAAGGGGTCCAGCTTAAGGTTATTGCATTTGTGGTCACAGTGGTGCCTATGCTTACCTTCCTATGGTGTATAAATATACTTACTTGGATGAATCTTAATGTAGCTAGCTGGCCCAGGGGCTAACGCATCGTTCTGGAGTTTTGACTCTCTGATTGCAGGTTCTAACCCCGCCAGTGGTATGGTTTGTTTGCAATCGTGTGTATTATGATTTTTTGAGTCTAGTTAAGGTTATGTTCTATGATTTCAATTATAAGAGTCAAGGTTGTACACTCCAAAACTGATATTATATAGTGAACATTTGTTTTATAATTACTGATTCTAATGTATTTCTTTCAGTCAGCAGAGTCCGGGATATATCGGGAGATAGCTGACACAGGGAAGGTTGGCAGGTTAATATATATTACACGCCGGCACTTCAGTGAAGCAATAGACACTGTGGTGCGACAAGGAGACCACGTGCTCATGCTTGCTGCTACCGGCCTCGTAGCTTATGTTGCTCAAGACTTCACAAAAACTGGTAATTTTTAAAGAAATTACTCTAAAATTACGAATAAACTTTAATTAAAAAGAAATTCTTATGTTGGTCTACGTACAATAATTTGTGATGATTCTCATTTATTGTTTATTTATTTTTTCAAAAATACTAGAGATTTCTCAGATATTATATTGAGTTTAAAAAATGGTCGAGCTTTACCTCTACTCTGAAATTCAGACAAAAATCCTTATACAAATCATTATCTTTACATTTTAACAAATCTTAAAAATAATTGAAATTAGCTTTATAAAGTTATAGAACCAATTATAAATTTTAACTTTCGATAATCAGAACTATTCACTGTTTTAAAATATTAAAAACGCATTAAACAACAGTTTTATGTAATTTCTGAACCTGACTTATAAATGTAATTTTGTTTGCTATAAAAACAATTGAAGTTTTAAGACTGAAACTTTTTAAATATTCGTGATGTTTCAGCAATAATTAATAAAATTAAAACAAGTTTACTGAAACTGAGAAGCTAAAATATATTACAGTTGTGCATAAATTTTGAAAACTTTCTTCTATAAGTTAGGTTTAATTTTTCTAACAAAATTGAGATATGAGAACAAACATATTATTGCCTTGCATTATTAATGAAAAAAAAATGAAAAAAAAAAAATGTGCATATTTACAATATGTATATATATGTCGTGCCGAATAGGCAGAACTTGCGATCTTGGCTTAAATAGCAACGCTAATCTTGTCATATAGGACAAGTGAAAATTTGTGTATGCAATAATTTCGCCAAAATCATTCTGAACCTAACGAAAAAAATATATTTCACTGTGTTTGTTTAGTATTAAATTACTGTAAACAAATCTAAAATATATTTAGTTGGGTTAGGCTAAAATAAATTGTTCTTGTTATAATAAGGTTAGGTAAGTTTTCTAAGTTCCTTTTGGTGCAAAATTATCAATTTTTACATTAGCATTAATGAAAAATATATATCTTTAAACGTATAAGAGAAAATTTTAGAAAGGACTTAATTTTAAATGAGTTCTTGCTAATTGACCAGTTTTACATATTCGGCACGACATAATAAATATATATATATATATATATATATATATATATATATATATATATATATATATATATATATATATATATATATATATATGTGTGTACTCACCTAATTGTGATTGCAACGGTCGAGTCATAGCTCCTGGCCCCACCTCTTCCCTGGGCGCAACTAGGTTCATTCTCTCCCTGCTCCATGAGCTGTATCATACATCATCTTAAAGTTTCGTGTGGTACCTGCCTCCACTGCTTCACTTTCCAGATTATTCCATTTCCTGACAACTCTATGGCTAATGTAGTATTTCCTAACATCCCTGAAACTCATCTGAGTCTTCAACATCCAATTGTGACTCCTTGGTGCTGTGTCAAATCTCCGAAACATCCTGTTCCTATCCATCTTGTCAATTCCTCTCAGTATTTTATGTTATCATGTCTCCCGTATCTCCCCTGTTCTCCAGTGTCGTCAGATCGATTTCATTTAACCTTTCCTCGTAGGACATGCCCCTTAGCTCCAGGATTAGTTTTGCTGCAAACCTTTGCACTTTCTCTAATTCTTGATGAGCTTGACACGGTGTGGGCTCCATAGTGGTGTTGCATACTCCAATATGTGTTTGACGTACACAGTGTACAGAGTCTTGAACCATTCCGTACTGAGATATCGGAAGGCTATTCTTAGGTTTGCTAGTAGCCCATATGCAGCAGTAGTTATTTGGTTGATATGGGCCTCAAGAGATGTGTTCGGTATTGTACTCATCCGAAGATCTTTTTCCTTGAGCGAGGTTTGCAGTCTTTGGCCTCCTAACCTGTACTCTGTCTGTAGTCTTCTCTGACCCTCCCGAATCTCCATGACTTTGTACTTGGTGGGGTTAATCTCCAGGAGCCAGCTGCTAGACCAGGCTTGCAACCTGTCCAGATCCTATTGAGGTCCTACTTGATTCTCATCCGATTTAATTCTTCGCATTAGCTTTATATCATCTGCAAACAGGGACACCTCTGAAATTATCCCTTCCGTCAAGTCATTCACACATACGAGAAATAGTACCGGCCCTAGGACTGACCCCTGTGGAAACCCACACGTGACAGGAGCTCATTCTATCACCATCGTTTCTTTCCTGTCAGGTTATCTCTGATCCATTGCATTGTCTTTCCTGATATTCCGACCTGCTCCTCTGGCTGTTGCACTAGTTCCTTTGTGTGGAAGTCTGTCGAAAGCCTTCTTACAGATGAAGAAAATGAATTTTACCCACCACTCTCTCTCACTCTCTCTCTCTCTCACTCTCTCTTTCTAGGTATGTTACACAGGATTTCCCTTCCCTGGAAACGTGTTGGTTATCGTTTATAATCTCATTCCTTTCTAAGTGCACCACCCCTCTTTTCCTGATAATCTTTTTCATGACTTTGCATACTGTACATGTCAGTTACACTGATCTGTAGCTTAGTGCTTCATGTCTGTCTCCTTTATTAAAAATTAGAATTACATTTGCTGTCTTCCACACCTCAGGCAGTTGCCCTGTTTCGACAGATTTTATGAAAGTTGTTAGTGACAAACTCTGCTCCCTCTCTCAGGACCCACGGAGAAATGTTGTCCGGTCCCACAGCCTTTGAGGTATCTAGTTCACTTAGCAGCCTCTTCACTTTCCCCTCTGTTGTGTGCATTGTGTCCAGCACTTGTTGTACTCCACCATTCCGGCTTAATGGAGTCTTCTCTGTCTCCAATGAAAATACTTCCTTAAATCTTGTGTTGAGCTCTTCACATAATTCTCTGTCATTTCTTGTGATCTCCTCTCCTCCCTTACTCAACCTGATTACCTGGCCCTTGACTGTTGTTTTTCTCCTGATATGGCTATACAACAGCTTCAGGTCAGTCACTTTCATATTGCCCCTGGGCCTCCCTCCTTATCTGTGCATGTTCATTTCTGGCTCTTCGATTAATCTTCCTATTTTCCTGGGTCCTTTGTTTTCTGTTCGTTTTCCATTCTCTAGCACACCAAGCTTTGGTCTCTGTACACCTTTGGGTGAACCAAGGGCTAGTTCTGGTCTTCCCATTATTTTTGTTGCCCTTGGGTATAAGCCTCTCCTCTGCCCCTTTGCATTTTATTGTAAATTTGTCATCATTTCATTTACTGGATTCCCCACCAGTTCTCTTTCCCACTGAACGTCATGTAGGATATTCTTCATGTAGTCCACTCTCATTTAGCTTGGCTTCTCCCATCCTACTCATCCTGTTTTCCTCTCCACTTGTAACTCTACTATGTATTCGAAGCTCAGGACCACATGATCACTTGCTCTGAGGGGCCTCTCATATGTGGTGATGTCCTCAGTGTCTGAACTACTCAAGGTGAGTATAGCGTCCAGCCTTGCTGATTTATCATCTCCACTCGCTCTGGTAGTGTCCCTATAATGTTGATACATGAGGTTTTCCAGTACCACCTCCACCATGTTGGCCCACTACGTTTCTGGTCCTCCTTGTGGCTCCAGGTTTTCCCAGTAAATCTCCTCATGATTGAAATCTCCCATAAGTAGTAACTTTGCCCTACCCATGTGGGCCCTTCTGGCGACCTCAGTTAGGGTATCAACCATTGCTCTGTTGCTCTCATTATATTCTTGTCTTGGCCTCCTGCTATTCTTGGTGTTGTGAACATCATTGCAATCACTACTTTGGGACCCCCAGACTAAAGTGTTCTATGTAGTCCCTTGCTTCCCCTCTGTCCCCTTCTTCCAACTTATTAAATCTCCACTGCTTTTTGATGAGCAGTGCAACTCCTCCACACCCTCTAATCCCTTTATTTTCCTCAGTATCTGATACTCAGTTGGAAAGACTGCTTCTGTTATAATTCCCATGAGCTTGGTTTCTGTAAGTGCTATGGTGTGGGGGGATGCCTCCATGATTCTTTCATGCCAGTCCCCACACTTATTCGTTATTCTGTCTGAATTTGTGTAACACACATTCAGCTTTTCCAAAATTGTATTCTGGGGGGTTTGTATGGGCTGGGAGAGTGGGAAACCTGGCAGGATGCCGGGTTGGTGGGGTTTGTGCTGGGGTGGGGTGGGTGCTGCGAGTATAGTGTGTGGTTTGTTTTGGGTTTGTTTGGTTGAGGGGTTCTGTGGGTTTTTGTGCTCGCTGCTCTTCCCGACTCTGGGCATCCTTGCCAGACTCGATCCTTGTCTCTCTCTCTCTTGCCCCTTTCGTCTTTGTAACCTCTCTCTCAGTTTCTATGGTTCTGTTCTCTTTCTGGCGCAGTCTGGATACACCCACTGGTATTTTGTTGCCTCAAGCCGTGGATTTTGCTGCAGGATCCTGTTTCACACTGTTTCTGTCTTTAAAATCAGTTTAACTGGCCAATTTCTTCCCCTCGTCTATCCCCCAATTCTCTGAAAATTTATCAGCTCGGTCATGTCCTCCTCTCCGGTTTGTTTGATTATAGTCTTTCTTCATCTCTCCTCCTTTAGATCTCTTGGAGCCCATGAATAAAAACTGACCGCTCCTTCATTTTCCAATGCTTCTTCCTCCGTTATCATTTTCTGGATCTCTCTTATCATTTTCTGGATCTCCCGGTGGCCTGATAGCACCTCTGAAGTGGAAACTATCCCCTTTTCTACTTGCAACTTCCTTTGGTACCCTCGATGGATATTGGTGTACCTGCACTAAGAATTTTTAACACACATTTATGTATGTAAAGTCACTGGATGACCAATGGGCTCTGTGGGAATGAAATTAATGATGAAAATAACTAGCAATATCGGGTATCACTTTTACTTAAGTGTGTCAAGGCTTGGGCTAGCATCAGCCAAAACATTACAAGGACCACGAATGTAATAAATGCTACTAATGGAAGGCTAAATACAGAAAGCCCATCTCGTTATCCAAGCATTTTTCGCGCTCACAGTATTAATATAGGTTAAGGGATTGAGGTCTATAAACAGTGACTTTTAATGGATAAGCGCCAAATATATGCAAAAGTGATATTATGCCACCATCAGAACTAAGGTCAATCTTTCATTCATGTTTTTTTGAAATGGAGTGTGTCACAGGCTTTGTCAGTAGCTTCTGTCACCTGACAGATGTGACAACAACTCTCATATTTCGTGATGTTATATAGCCAGGTGAAGTGCTTAGCAAGACTGCCTAGTGTTTTCTTAACACCGAATGGTGTTAGTAGCCTGTTAACGAAATTTGTGAGTATGTGATGCAGCGCCAGATGCTGTACTGTAGCGACAACATTAGCTCAGATACTGTACTACATTTTTCATAACAATACTATAAGTTACTAGAATTTGCTGAAGTCCTTTATTTTTCTAATTAACCGATTTTAATGCCATTTTTACTGTAATAAGCAGTGTTTATGAGGTTTGCTTCAAAATATAGAGAAAAAATAATGAGACGTTTTATGGGGTATCACTCTGGTATAGTGATTGCAAAATTGTTAAGATGTAAATTACATGACAGATAAAAGGCTAAAGAATAACATGACAACTTGATGTGACCGACATGTCAATATTTCGTACTTTAAAAAATGTTAAAGTTAGCATTTTGCTCATAAGATTTTTTTTTGGTAAAAAAAAAAAAACAATAAAACAGAAGCTGTAAATTCTATTGCAAATATCAGTTGTACTTAAAACAATAATTGTTCAATAATCTGTGCAAAAATCATGATATTATGTTCACAAATAATATGAGTCTTCTATACTGAAAGAAGAATAACTTCTGAGAAAAATAGAAATATAATTTTTCTATAAAACTCGACGGAAATTAAACACCACAAGTCAGGGAAGGAGCAACATCTACCCTTTTCTGCAGTGTGTGGGCAACTGAGCGGCTGGTCTTCTTCTTGTTAATTCGCCGGTATTCTCCCGGCCCGGGCCTTTTCCAAGTGGTGGCCCGACCTTGACTCCCTGTCTAGGGAGTGTCTGAGACCTAAGTCTCCCTTGGGATGAGGTACAAGTACCCCCTCATCCTTGGGACCAACTGTCCCCAGGCCTAGCCACATTCCACGCCCTCACGGGGCTCGTAGTGAGAAGCTAGGCCTCTCTGGTCTGTCATCCCCGCCCCAAGGGAGCTAATGGGAATGACAGTTTGTGAGCTGCATGCTCGGGCTCAGGCACCTACCCTGCCCTAGAAGGGCTGGGCATGGTGTCGATGGAACGGCTGGGAGGTCACACCCTTGTAGTAGTGTAAAAAAAGAGGCCATGTATTGTATTTACAAAATCTTTCACAAAACTCATAATTTTTGGAGTATGGCATCATGTCCTCTTTAAGACATGCCATTCTCAGATCCTCTGGCAGGCAGTGTTGCAGTGTGTGTGAGAGTAGCCACTTCTCCCAGGACATCAGGAGTCTTGTTCTCTACTGAAGAGCGCCAGGACCGAGACAGGTTTCATGTACTTCTGCTGAGACTCCAAATAGATTGTAATATGTAATGATTACTGTCTGAAATTAAAACACAATGACAGATTCCTCCGGACAGATTCTGAATAAAGATTAAGAATGACTATCCTTAAGTTACGAAAAAAGCTCTGGTAATTCTTGTACATTTTTTTTCACATCTTAGCTGAATGAATTAGGATTTTCTGCACTCACAAAACATAAAAACTTAAGAGAAAGTCTATAATCGGTAGAGGAAGAAGTGAGTGAATGTCTGTCCAATATCCCATTTAATACCATAAAGGAGCTGCTAATCACAAGCCCTAATAAATCACTTAAAAAAAGTTCAGAAGACAAGTTAGTTTGTTTTACTTATTTTATTATGATCTATAATGTTTGTGTATTATGTACAATAACAAACTTGAATATTTTATATTTTGTGTGTGTGTTTGTTCCTCTTGTTTGTTTTTATTACTATGATAATAATAATATAATAATAATAATAATAATAATAATAATAATAATAATAATTTATTATTATTATTATTAGCAGTAGTAGTAGTATATTTTTGGAAAGTGGTTCTCATAGAAAACGGTGTGGGGAGGGACTGCCACAGAATAAGACATGTTGCTTGAGGCGTCATCACTGAAAAAGGTTAATTAATATTCATTGTTTTACAGAAACTTGCATAAAGATCAGGATGAACTTTTAATAAATGTTCTCAGTAATGAAACAGAATTTCAAAATCACCTCTGGATATTTTAACCATTTACATAATTTTTAATCGTCCAGATTTAATAATAATAATAATAATAATAATAATAATAATAGGTTGGTAGACAGCAACCACCCAGGGAGGTACTACCGTCCTGCCAAGTGAGTGTAAAACGAAAGTCTGTAATTGTTTTACATGATGGTAAGATTGCTGGTGTCCTTTTGTCTGTCTCATAAACTTACAAGATTTCAGGTACGTCTTGCTACTTCTACTTAGGTCACACTACACATACATGGACAAGCACATATATACACACCCCTCTGGGTTTTCTTCTATTTTCTTACTAGTTCTTGTTCTTGTTTATTTCCTCTTATCTCCATGGGGAAGTGGAACAGAATTCTTCCTCCGTAAGCCATGAGTGTTGTAAGAGGCAACTAAAATGCCAGGAGTAAGGGGCTAGTAACCCCTTCTCCTGTATAAATTACTAAATTTAAAAAGAGAAACTTTCATTTTTCTTTTTGGGCCACCCTGCCTTGGTCGGATACGGCCAGTTTGTTGAAAATAATAATAATAATAATAAATCTTTATATGCTGCAAGTACATGTACAAGGTAACACAGTCCTAGCTGACATCAGTGATATTCTACTATATTGAAACCCACTTCTTATGTTCAGCATTTCCCGCAAATTAGGTCAGTTTTGTCCCAGGATGCGACCCACACCAGTCCACTAACACCCAGGATGCCACCCACACCAGTCCACTAACACCCAAGATGCGACCCACACCAGTCCACTAACACTCAGGATGCCACCCACACCAGTCCACTAACACTCAGGATGCGACTCACACCAGTCCACTAACACCCAAGATGCGACCCACACCAGTCCACTAACACCCAGGATGCCACCCACACCAGTCCACTAACACCCAGGATGCCACCCACACCAGTCCACTAACACCCAGGATGCCACCCACACCAGTCCACTAACACCCAGGATGCCACCCACACCAGTCCACTAACACCCAAGATGCGACCCACACCAGTCCACTAACACCCAGGATGCGACCCACACCAGTCCACTAACACTCAGGTACCCATTATACTGATGGTGAACATAGACAACACGTGTAAAGAAAAACGCCAAGTTTTAAAAATAAGTTGGATAAATACGTGAGTAGTTGTGGGTGGGTGTGTGTTGGACCTGACTAGCTTGTGCTACTAGGTCGGATGCCGTGCTCCTCTCTTAAGTGACGTGTCTGACCTCACTAAGTCAAGGTAATGGCTTAAGCCGGTGGGAGAATTGGACCTGCCTCGCATAGGCCAGTAGGCTTGTTACAGTGTTCTTTCTTTCTTATGTTATATTCTTATGTTTCAACCCTGGCTGGGAATCGAACCCAGACTCTCGGTGTGTGGAGCTAGAGCTTTAGCCACCACTTCACCAGAACCACCAGAAAGTGGTGACCTTATCTGATAGTTTTTCAAGAGAGTGACCGAGGTATTTGGACCAATGTGCGAGTGCCAGTGTCTTTTATTATCATTTTATATACCCATTGCAGGGAAGTGTTCCTTTTACGGGTCCAGAGAAGAGTTTTTGCAGATAATGTTTGCAATGATCGGTCAAAAAGACAGTCCAATTATTCCAGCTCTTAATAAGAGGTAAATCATTATACTCAGTATTTTTGTCTAAAGCTTTTCGTTCGTAAATTCTTTTGCAAAAATCAAATTCTTTATTTATGAAATCAAATATATATCATAATAATTAGCTGCCTAATGAGACGACTTCAGAAATTTTATACATTTAGTGAAGAAACATATCGCCTGCACAGCAGACATATAAATTAATAAAACTCATTCCTAATCAAAAGTATTTTTCAAGTCTTTCAGAGTAGTTCTTGGAAAGACATCATTGTCTGTACCATCATTGTCCGTACCATCATTGTCCGTACCATCATTGTCCGTACCATCATTGTCCGTACCATCATTGTCCGTACCATCATTGTCCGTACCATCATTGTCCGTACCATCATTGTCCGTACCATCATTGTCCGTACCATCATTGTCCGTTCCATCATTGTCCATACCATCATTGTCCGTTCCATCATTGTCCGTACCATCATTGTCCGTACCATCATTGTCCGTACCATCATTGTCCGTTCCATCATTGTCCGTACCATCATTGCCGGTACCATCATTGTCCGTACCATCATTGTCCGTACCATCATTGCCAGTACCATCATTGCCAGTACCATCATTGCCAGTACCATCATTGCCAGTACCATTATTGCCAGTACCATCATTGCCAGTACCATCATTGCCAGTACCATCATTGCCAGTACCATCATTGCCAGTACCATCATTGCCAGTACCATCATTGCCAGTACCATCATTGCCAGTACCATCATTGCCAGTACCATCATTGCCAGTACCAAGGGTACGGGCAATGATGGCCATTGGAAAACATCTGAAGAATATTTTATTTGAGAAATGTCCACCATACTTGCCCTAGGGCGGGACCAGGAGCTTCCTGGACCTCCAGTGGAAATAACCGACTCTGAATGTTTGGTCTTCCTAGGCAGTTTATATATATGTTAAACTATGTATTATAATTGTACTTATGTTCACCTGCTCCTAAAAAAAAATAACTTTCTTGCTTACTTACTCCTGCTCAATTAAAACTAAGGAACCGAGAGCATTTTAACGAGACTAAGGAGCTGAACACCTTTTAATTACCTCCAGTTCTTCCATTCCACTCTATGTTCGATTAGAAACTTTAAGCAATAAAGATGACGAAGTTGTGCTCATAAATCTTAGTCATCAACGCGTTGATATTGTATTTTATTGTATCTGTTTACTGTTGAATATCATTCATTGTTGGCTCCAAATTTGAGTGTAGATTACTTTTAGGATAAACGGAAAGCAATGTATTGATAGCTACATAAGGGATAAAGACATATTTGCATACACTTAGTACATCTGTATTAAATACGTTTGGGTACTGTGATCTTGATATCTCCACATGATATATGAGATATGGTGTGATATCGTCTGGTTACTACATTACGTGGCTGCCAGGACAAAAACATGTATGTATCTTTATTGTGCTAAGCTGTTAGGTGCTATATTTACTAGTCATTTCTTTCATGGTGTTGGAAAAAGTAACTAAAGAGGCTTCAAGAAACTAGCTTCTCCTCCAGTATTGATATTTAAATATAATATGAGTGGCCCTCATTTCTCGGTTCTTAACCTCAGGATGATATAGCACATAGCATACCCCTGTTTCACTGAGTTATAGTGATCTTCCTTCAGGTGAGATCTTTGAAGAACAGATGCCATCTTTCTAACTGGAGATCAAATCCTGAGGAAAGTCAGAGGAAATAGAGGGGGCAGAGGAGTGGCACTGCCCATCAAAACACAAATGGGATTTTGAGGAATTGGATAGAGGAGACAGAGGAGAAGGAAGCGACTGCATTACAGATCACTTCAGACTGGAGTCCCAAGGTGGTGATTGCAGTGATGTATAACCCACCACAGAATAGCAGGAGGCCAAGGAAAGAATATGATGAGAGTAACAGAGCAATGGCTGACACACTGCTGAAGTGGCCAGAAAGGCCCTTGTGGTCAGGCAAAGCTACTGGCTGTTGGTGACTTCAGTCACAAAGAAACTGACTAGGAAAACCTGGAACCACATGTTTGCCAGAAACGTGCAGGGCTAATATGATAGAGATGGTACTGGAAAACCTCTTGCATCAACACGTTAGGGACATTACCAGAGTGAGAAGAGAGGATCAACTAGCAAGACATTACATATGAAAGGCCCCTCAGGGCTAGTGATCACCTGGTGCTGAGTATAATGCCGATCATATCTCCTGAGGCGCAAATCAACCAGATAATTGCTGCAGCATCTGTCAAACGTAAGAAAAGTGTTCCGATACCTCAATAAGGAATCGTTCAAGACTCTGTACGTCACGCCCATGTTAGAGAATGAAGCACCAGTTTGCAACCCAAACCAGGTCAAGCACGTCAAGAAATTAGATGAAGTGCAAAGGTTTGCTACAAGACTAGTCCCAGAGTTAAAGGGAATGTCCTACGAATAAAGGTTAAGGGAAATTGGACTGAAGACACTAGAGGGCAGGAAGACTAGGGAAGACAGATGGGACACAAACAAGGGATCACATTTGGAAATTGAGGACTCAGATGAGTCAGAGGGATGTTGAGAAGGATATCTTCAGTCACAGAGTCGTCAGGAAGTGTATTAGTCTGTAAAGTGACTTAGTGAAGGCAGGATCTATACATAGTTTTAAGACGAGGTTCGATAAAACATATTGAGCAGGGAGATAGAGAGAGGACCTAGTAGCAATCATTGAAGAGGCGGGGCTAGGAGCTAAGAATCGACCCCTGCAACCACAAATAGGTGAGTACACACACGCACCTACATACACACACATGGTAACATACACTTAAGAATTTACTTTAGTTTTTATTATCTATATTTTCTTTCATTATGAGGATAATGTCGACAACGGAAGCAGGACTCTTCTTCCAGTGGGTGAAAACTGAGGAACCAAACTCTACTGTGTGTTATCATTCTCCCAGCAAGATCCTTGTTAATTCACCACTCTCAATCAAAAATATTTGGGTAAGTATAAACATATGGTATATTACAAATTATCACATTATACAGAGAATATTTTAGGTATATGTTAATATTCAATAAGTTCACATATGCAGTCGATATCTACTTATTATGCAGAATAACCAAAGTGAAAAATGGAATTGTTTGAAGTTTATTCACGATTTAGCAAAATGATGAGAGATGTCACTACAAAGTTACGAGAAATGCCATATTTTATCTATGTATATATATTGCACAATAGTATATGAGTACACACACAAACACAAAGGAGGAAGAGTGGAGAAGGAAGGTAGAAGAGCTCAGCAAGAAAATGGAGGAGAGGATAGCTGCAGAGAGAATGAATTGGGAGCTACAATCCATAGCAGCAGAAGCTAAGATACATAGCTTACAAGAGGAACTAAAACTCTCTGAAACAGCCTAAAGAACCAAAGGGCAGTTCAGCCATTACATCAGGAACTGCTACATCAGTCACAGACAAGGGTCACTGTAGGGAACAATGTAGCTATACTGTATGAAGAAGCCCTATCAGACTCACGTGGAGCCCGGGAAAAGACGAGGAGCACATCAGGAATAAATGAGGGGACTAAAGACAATGAAGGAGCTAAGCTATATGCAGAGACAAGAGGAAAAAAACAGTCAAAGTGATTTTAAAGGCAGAATCAGCTCGAAACAGGATCCTGCTGGAGAAAGCGGATGGAATAACAAATAAACGTGAGAAGTGGCATGACAAAATCAAGTAGTCAGAGAAAAAAAAACTCACTGGGACAATAAACTAAATTTTCCCTCCCTGATATCAGATCCTCAGAAAAGATAAAAGGAACAGAGGGAGAGGAGGAATTGCACTGCTCATTAAAAACCGATGGGGATTTGAGAAAATGGAAGGAATGGATGAAATTTGCGAAAAGGATTACATTTAGTCTAGGGGACATAAGGCAGCCATTGTAGTGATGTATAAGTTGCCACAGAACTGCAAGAGGCCAAGAAAGGAATATGAAGAGAGCAACAGAGCAGTGGTGGACACACTAGGTGAGGTGGCAAGAAGAGCTCACACGAGTAGAGCAAAGTTACTAGTTATGGGCAATTTAAACCAAAAGCAGATTGACTGGGAAAACCTAGAGCCACATGGGGGTCCAGAAACATGGAGAGCCAAGATGATGGATGTGGTACTGGAAAACCTAATGCATCAACATGCTAGGGACACTACCGGAGAGGAGAGGAAAGGATGAATCAGTGAGACTGGACCTAGTATTCACATATGAAAGGCGCCTTTGAGCTAGTGATCATGTGGTTCTGAGCTTTGAATACAGAGTAAAGCTACAAGTGGAGACGGTAGCAGGAGTAGCATCGGAAAAGTCAAACTGTAAAATGGGGTACTACACAGGTATGTCGAACTTCCTGCAGGAAGTTCAGTGGGAAAGAGAATTTGAAGGCAAGTCAGTAAACGAAATGATGGATTACGTAACAATAAAATGGGAGGAGGCAGAGGAAAGGTTTGTTCCTAAGGGCAACAGAAATAATGGGAAGACCAGAACGAGCCCCTGGTTTACCTGAAGTTGTAGGGAGAGAATGGAAAAAGTAAAGATAACAAAGAACCCAGGAAAATAAAGAGAATAGTCGAAGATCCAGAAACGAGTATACACAGGGAGGGGAGGCCCAGCGACAGTACGAAAACCACATAGCATCGAAAGTCAAGTGTGACCCGAAGCTGTTGCATAGCCACATCAAGAGGAAGACAACAGTCAGGTACCATTTGATCAGGCTGAGGAAGATGGGTAGCTCACAAGAAACGACCAAAAAGTATTTGAGGGGCTCATCACAAGATTTAAGGATGAATTTTCGGTGGAGAGAGAAAGGACTCCGGGAAGACAGAACAGGAGGGTATACCAACATGATATATACCAAGTGCTGTAGTAGTACTGAGTGTGAAGGGAGCGAGTAAGAAGATGAACATTAAAGTACTACTCCACCAGCCAGAAAACACAACAAAAATAAAATTGCAACAAGTTTGGTAACATACACAAAAGTATCAACAAGTAAAGCCGCCAAGATAGGCAAACATTTGATATTTAATGGCATTGACATTCGTACACCAAGTCAAGCAATGGCAATGGATGAAAACCTTGGTGCTAAAACCAGTTCTCCTAACATCAAGTATCTATTTGTATCCCAACTGGTAAAGAATTATGAGGAACTAAAGGCTCAGTTTGTTAATGGAACAGAAGAGATCCTCCATAAATCAGGATGGAGAGATGATAAGAAGTTTTCGTACCATCCAACAAGAGTGTTTAAATTCTTTGAAGAAAACGGGCACTTTCCTTTAACTTTCAGAAATTTCCAAACATCAATTCGAAGTGGAATTGAAGATCCATTCTAGCTATTCTTGCATTCATTTTTATATGTACAAGAAGGAAGACTTTGGAGAAGATATGCAGATTTATTTCATACACTTTGACAGATTATTGCCAGAAATATTGAAACCTTACAAAAAAGCACAGAACTCATTGAAAAATTCCTGGAAGCAGGAGCCGTCCGCACTTAATATACCAAGAAGTAATCAGTGTGCTGAACGTGCAATCAAAGTTATGCAGGAGCTGTATGTTGCCTGCACAAACAAACTGCAACTTTGGTGACAGTTTCTAAAAAAATATTGAAATGATTGGTCATTTCTTTGCTTCTGGGCAAAGGTTCATTTGATTAAGGTAGAGAAATATTATTTTGTAAAATAGTTATAACTCTAATATATATATATATATATATATATATATATATATATATATATATATATATATATAATATATATATATATATATTATATATTAATATATATATGCGCAAAACAACCACTGTGAAAGAATAATGAAATTCCAAGCGATTTCCTGCAATATATATATATATATATATATATATATATATATATATTATATAATATATATATATATATATATATATATATATATATTGCACGAAAGCGCTTGTACCCACGGAACAAGAGGTTTTGATCAATAACAACAATACACTAGCCAAGGAGTCGAACCCATGCTGTTTTGGCCCTCCTCATGGTGAGCGAAAACGCATGACGACTTAGATCACTGGACCACACAATCCTTAACAATGGTGCATCCAGCTAAGCTAGATGTTGTACCCGAAATCGAGGACATACGTTGGTGTGGACGCCTCTGAGTTAATTTCATTCTACTCCGTGTTTGTGTACTAACTCAACAAACATTATATTATTGTACGCACGGAAGATTTTTTTTTTTAACAAGTCGGCCGTCTCCCACCGAGGCAGGGTGACCCAAAAAGAAAATCCCCCCCCCCAAAAAAAAAATACTTTCATCATCATTCAACACTTTCATTTCACTCGCACATAATCACTGTTTTTGCAGAGCTGCCCAGAATGCAACAGTTTAGAAGTATATACCTGGAGTTTACCTGGAGAGAGTTCCGGGGGTCAACGCCCCCCCGGCCCGGTCTGTGACCAGGCCTCCTGGTGGATCAGAGCCTGATCAACCAGGCTGTTACGGCTGGCTGCACGCAAACCAACGTACGAGCCACAGCCCGGCTGGTCAGGAACCGACTTTAGGTGCTTGTCCAGTGCCAGCTTGAAGACTGCCAGGGGTCTGTATATAAAGATACACAACATATCCCTCCAAATTGCAAAAATCCCAAAACCCCTCGTTTAGAGTGCAGGCATTGTACTTCCCATTTCCAGGATTCAAATCCGGCTATATAAAATAACCGGTTTCTCTGAATCCCTTCACTAAATATTACCCTACTCACACACCAACAGCTCGTCTGGTCCCAAATACCATTCGTCTCCATTCAGTCCTATCTAACACGCTCACGCACGCTTGCTGGAAGTCCAAGCCCCTCACCCACAATACCTCCTGTACCCCCTCCCTCCAACCTTTTCCAGGACAACCCCTACCCCGCCTTCTTTCTCTCACAGATTTATACGCTCTCCATGTCATTCTACTTTGATCCATTCTCTCTAAATGACCAAACCACCTCAACAACCCCTCTTCTGCCCTCTGACTAATACTTTTATTAACTCCACACCTTCTCCTAATTTCCACACTCCGAATTTTCTGCATAATATTTACACCACACATTGCCCTTAGACAGGACATCTCCACTGCCTCCAACCGTCTCCTCGCTGCTGCATTTACCACCCAAGCTTCACACCCATATAAGAGTGTTGGTACTACTATACTTTCATACATTCCCTTCTTTGCCTCCATAGATAACATTTTCTTGTCTCCACATATACCTCAACGCACCACTCACCTTTTTTCACTCATCAATTCTATGATTAACCTCATCCTTCACAAATCCATCCACTGACACGTCAACTCTCAAATATCTGAAAACTTTCACTTCTTCCATACTTCTCCTTTTCAATGTGATATCCAATTTTTCTTTATCTAAATCATTTGATACCCTCATCAAGTTACTCTTTTCTATGTTCACTTTCAACTTTCTACCTTTACACACACTCTTAAATTCGTCCACTAACCTTTGCAATTTTTCTTTAGAACCTCCCATAAGCACAGTATCATCAGCAAAAAGCAACTGTGTCACTTCCCATTTTGTATTTGATTCCCCATAATTTAATCCCACCCCTCTCCCGAACACCCTAGCATTTACTTCTCTTACAACCCCATCTATAAATATATTAAACAACCATGGTGACATTACACATCCCTGTCTAAGACCTACTTTTACCGGGAAGTAGTCTCCCTCTCTTCTACACACCCTAACCTGAGCCTCACTATCCTCATAAAAACTCTTTACAGCATTTAGTAACTTACCACCTATTCCATATACTTGCAACATCTGCCACATTGCTCCCCTATCCACTCTATCGTATGCCTTTTCTAAATCCATAAATGCAATAAAAACTTCTCTACCTTTATCTAAATACTGTTCACATATATTCTTCAATGTAAACACTTGATCTACACATCCCCTACCCACTCTAAAACCTCCTTGCTCATCTGCAATCCTACGTTCTGTCTTACCTTTAATTCTTTCAATAATAACCCTACCGTACACTTTTCCTGGTATATATATATATATATATATATATATATATATATATATATATTAATTTATATATAATTATATATATATATATATATATAGGAAGGTACCACCTCTAGAACTGTCCTAGGGACCCTCATCCTCAGAGAAAAGAATAAACTTGCTTCAGGGAACACTCAAGGTTCTCCCTGAAGCAGTTTGAGAATTTTCTCGTACCACCCCCTATATTTAATATATATTTTATTTAAAGTCAAAATACGTGCGTCTAACCACAATCTTCAACACATCCCTTGAAACTGGGCAACTACCTGGGAAATGGAAGACAGCTAATGTAGTCCCCATATTTAAGAAAGGAAACAGAAACGAGGCACTAAACTACAGACCTGTGTCTCTGACATGTATTGTTTGCAAAGTCATGGAGAAGATTATCAGGAGGAGAGTGGTCGAACACCTGGAAAGGAACAAGATTATAAATGAAAACCAGCATGGGTTCATGGAAGGCAAATCTTGTATCACAAACCTCCTGGAGTTTTATGACAAGGTAACAGAAGTAAGACACGAGAGAGAGAGGGGTGGGTAGATTGCGTTTTCCTAGACTGCAGAAGGCTTTTGACACAGTTCCTCACAAGAGATTAGTGCAGAAGCTGGAGGATCAGGCGCATGTAAAAGGGAGGGCACTGCAATGGATAAGGGAATACCTGACAGGGAGGCAGCAACGAGTCATGGTACGTGAAGAGGTATCACAGTCGGCGCCTGTTACGAGCGGGGTTCCACAGGGGTCAGTTCTAGGACCAGTGCTATTTTTGATATATGTGAACGACATGATGGAAGGAATAGACTCTGAAGTGTCCCTGTTCGCAGATGACGTGAAGTTGATGAGAAGAATTAAATCGGACGAGGATGAGGCAGGGCTGCAAAGAGACCTGGACAGGCTGGACATGTGGTCCAGTAACTGGCTTCTCGAATTCAATCCAGCCAAATGCAAAGTCATGAAGATTGGGGAGGGGCAAAGAAGACCGCAGACAGAGTATAGGCTAGGTGGATAAAGACTACAGACCTCACTCAGGGAGAAAGACCTTGGGGTGACCATAACACCAAGCACATCACCGGAGGCACACATCAACCAAATAACCGCTGCAGCATACGGGCGCCTGGCAAACCTGAGAATAGCGTTCCGATACCTTAATAAGGAATCGTTCTAGACACTGTACACTGTGTATGTTAGGCCCAAACTGGAGTATGCAGCACCAGTCTGGAACCCGCACCTGGTCAAGCACGTCAAGAAGTTAGAGAAAGTACAAAGGTTTGCAACAAGGCTAGTCCCAGAGCTAAAGGGAATGTCGTACGAGGAAAGGTTAAGGGAAATCGGACTGACGACACTGGAGGACAGAAGGGTCAGGGGAGACATGATAACGACATACAAGATACTGCGGGGAATAGACAAAGTGGACAGAGATAGGATGTTCCAGAGAGGGGACACAGGGACAAGGGGTCACAACTGGAAGCTGAAGACTCAGACGAGTCACAGGGACGTTAGGAAGTATTTCTTCAGTCATAGAGTTGTCAGCAAGTGGAATAGCCTAGCAAGTGAAGTAGTGGAGGCAGGAACCATACATAGTTTTAAGAAGAGGTATGACAAAGCTCAGGAAGCAGAGAGGGAGAGGACCCAGTATCGATCAGTGAAGAGGCGGGGCCAGGAGCTGAGTCTCGACCCCTACAACCACAATTAGGTGAGTACAATTAGGTGAGTACAATATATATATATATATATATATATATATATATATATATTTTATATATATATATATATATATATATATACAAGCAATAAGATTAGATAAGATAAGATTTCGTTCGGATTTTTAACCCCGGAGGGTTAGCCACCCAGGATAACCCAAGAAAGTCAGTGCGTCATCGAGGACTGTCTAACTTATTTCCATTGGGGTCCTCAATCTTGTCCCTCAGGATGCCACCCACACCAGTCGACTAACACCCAGGTACCTATTTGCTGCTAGGTGAACAAGACAACAGGTGCAAGGAAACGTGTCGAAATGTTTCCACCCGCCGGGAATCGAACCCGGGCCCTCCGTGTGTGAAGCGGGAGCGTTAGCCACCAGGCCACCAGCCACCACAAAGATGACAGTAAACAATTGATATATTATGCGGAGCTTTACGTATTTGCAGTCCAGAGTTCATAGATGAAGAAATCTCCGAAATTTATGAAATAGCTAATGATCTCAGATTCCCATGAAAGTTAATTGATAAATTCTTTAAAACAGCCAGAAATACCTTTTGCCATGCAAAAAGGGACAACCAACCTTATTCAACCTTACCTGGAGAATACCTGGAGAGGGTTCCGGAGGGTCAACACCCCCGCGGCCCGGTCTGTGACCAGGCCTAATGGTGGATCAGGGACTGATCAACCAGGCTGCTACTGTTGGGTGCACGTAACCCGACCAAAGAACCACAGCCCGGCTGGTCAGGTACTGACTTTAGGTGCCTCTACAGTGCCTGCTTGAAGACAGTCAGGGGTTTATTGGTAATCCACCTTATGTATGCTGGGAGGCAGTTGAACAGTCTTGGGCCCCTGACACTTATTGTGTTGTCTCTGATCATGCTAGTGGCGCCCCTGTTTACCATGAAAACTTGGTTGTTATGCCTTCTCTTCTTAAGACTTTTAATATTGTATTGTATTTAAAGTTGTATTCAAAAATCTTGATACAGTAAAAAAACTTTTGATAAAGAATTCCCCCCAAAATGCTGATGGATGTGTCTATAAGATTCCTTGTAAAATTTGCGATAAAGTTTATTACGGTCAAACTGGTAAAAATCTCGAACTAAGATTAAAACAACATAAATATAGCATTAGAACTGGACAAGATTCCAATGCTCTATTTATTCATGTAAGAGATTTTAACCATCCAATTGATTTTCAAAAAGTTGAGAAAGTAGTATCAAGCAAGTCCATGGTTGACAGGAATATAATTGAATCTTATTTCATAAAAACAGATTTTAAAATAATATGAATATTTCTATTAGTTTATATAAATTGGATTCACTTATAATTAATAAAATTTGGGAAGAATTAAAGGTGCATTAGACAATTTTTTTTTGGGTAGAATAAAAGCCGTGTTTCACTGACAACTTTCCTACATCATCACAAGCAGTCACGTGACGTGTCGTCTGGTCTTTATAATGCCTTCCCGTTAACCTTTTATTTTTATAGGTACTTGATAATGTGAGAATTCACGAAAGTGCTTGGAATTTCGCTATTTTTTCATAGTGGTTGTTCAGTAAATATATATATATATATATATATATATATATATATATATATATATATATATATATATATATATATATATATATATATATATATATATATAATATCTTACCTCATTACCTCAGTTTTAAAGTTACAATTCAGCCTTAAAGTGTGTATTTAGATAAATAATAGAATAATCTTTAACACATTTCAGGGAATGTTTGTGATCCTCTTCGTTGGACTCTTCGGCTGTCTAGTTGTACTCTGCCTGGAGCTTTTTATATTTCATATTTCAAAAAAATTCATGTAATGAGTCCTTGAAAACTAAATATTATTATCATTTGTAATGTGTAAGTAATTTCCCATTTTGTTGGTTATATTTCCACTCTACTGCATAATGTATCCGCAGAACAAAATGGACTAAAGCAATGTCAATAATGCAACTACCCGGGTTTCAAACCCGCAGTAGTTTTACCAGCCTCTCTCCTGGGAAGCTCGGAGAAATTCTTGACACCTTGGTCCACCGTACCACCGTGAAGTACCAGGGTTGTTTTATACACACACACACACACACACAGTGCCTGACGACACTGGAGGACAGGAGGGTCAGGGGAGACATGATAACGACATAAAATACTTCGTGGAATAGACAAGGTGGACAAGGACAGGATGTTCCAGGGAGGGGACACAGAAACAAGAGGCCACAATTGGAAGTTGAAGACACAAATGAGTCAGAGAGATAGTAGGAAGTATTTCTTCAGTCATAGAGTTATAAGGCAGTGGAATAGCCTAGAAAATGACGTAGTGGAGGCAGGAACCATACACAGTTTTAAGACGAGGTTTGATAAAGCTCATGGAGCGGGGAGAGAGAGGGCCTAGTAGCAACCGGTGAAGAGGCGGGGCCAGGAGCTAGGACTCGACCCCTGCAACCACAAATAGGTGAGTACAAATAGGTGAGTACACACTACTCGGGCATGAGGAACTTCCTTCAAGACATTCAGTGGGAGAGGGAACTGACAGGAAAACCAGTAAAAGAAATGATTGACTATGTGGCAACAAAATGCAAGGAGGCAGAGGAGAGGTTTGTTCCCAAGGGAAACGGAAATAATGGGAAGAACAGAACAAGTCCTTGGTTCACCCAAAGGTGTAGGGAGGCAAAAACTAGGTGTACTAGAAAATGGAAAAGGTACAGAAGACAGAGAACTCAGGAAAATAAAGAGATTAGCCGAAGAGCCAGAAACGAATATGCACAGATAAGAAGGGAGGCTCAGCGACAATATGAAAATGACATAGCATCGAAAGTAAAGACTGACCAGAAGCTGTTGTACAGCCACATCAGGAGGAAAACAACAGTCAAGGATCAGGTAATCAGACTGAGGAAGGGTGATGGGGAATTCACAAGAAACGACCGAGATGTATGTCAGGAGCTCAACACGAGATTTAAAGAAGTATTTACTGTGCAAACCAGTAGGACTCCAGGAAATCAGAACAGGGGGGTACACCAGCAAGTGCTGGATGAGGTACATATAACCAAGGAGGAGGTGAAGAAGCTGCTATAGTATAGTATGCAAGGTCATGGAGAAGATCATCAGGAGGAGAGTGGTGGAGCACCTGGAAAGAAACAAGTGTATAATTGACAACCAGCACGGTTTCAGGGAAGGAAAATCCTGTGTCACAAACCTACTAGAGTTGTATGACAAGGTGACAGAAATAAGACAAGAGAGAGAGGGGTGGATCGACTGCATTTTTTTGGACTGCAAGAGGGCCTTCGACACAGTTCCTCACAAGAGGTTACTACAAAAGCTAGAGGATCAGGCACACGTAACAGGAAAGGCACTGCAATGGATCAGAGAATACCTGACAGGGAGGCAACAACGAGTCATGGTACGTGACGAGGTGTCAGAGTGGGCGCCTGTGACAAGCGGGGTTCCAGAGGGGTCAGTCCTAGGACCTGTGCTGTTCTTGGTATATGTGAACTACATAACGGAAAGGATATACTCAGAAGTGTCCTTGTTTGCAGATAATGTGAAGTTAATGAGAAGAATAAAATCGGATGAGGATCAGGCAGGACTACAAAGAGACCTGGACAGCCTACAAGCCTGGTCCAGCTACTGGCTCCTTGAGTTTAACCCTGCCAAATGCAGAGACATGAAGATTGGGGAAGGGCAAAGAAGACCGCAGACACAATATAGTTTAGATGGCCAAAGACTGCAAACCTCACTCAAGGAAAAAGATCTGGGGGTGAGTATAACACCGAGCATATCTCCTGAGGCGCACATCAATCAGATAACTGCTGCAGCATACGGACGCCTGGCAAACCTACGGATAGCGTTCCGATACCTCAGTAAGGATTCATTCAAGACTCTCTATGCCATTTACGTCAGGCCCATACTGGAGTATGCAGCACCAGTTTGGAATCCACACCTAGTCAAGCACGTCAAGAAATTAGAGAAAGTGTCAAAGCTACGGGGAATGTCCTACGAAGAAAGGTTGAGAGAAATCGGCCTGACGACACTGGAGGACAGGAGGGTCAGGGGAGACATGATAACGACATATAAAATACTGCGCGGAATAGACAAGGTGGACAAAGACAAGATGTTCCAGAGAAGGGACACAGACACAAGAGGCCACAATTGGAAGTTGAAGACTCAGATGAATCAAAGGGATGTTAGGAAGTATTTCTTCAGTCACAGAGTAGTCAGGCAGTGGAATAGCCTAGAAAGTGACGTAGTGGAGGCGGGAACCATACATAGTTTTAAGGCGAGGTATGATAAAGCTCAAGGAGCAGGGAGAGAGAGGACCTAGTAGCAGTCAGCGAACCCTACAACCACAAATAGGTGAGTACAAATAGGTGAGTACACACACACACACACACACACAGGAGGTATGTCCTACGAGGAGAGGTTAAGGGAAATCACCCTGACGACACTGGAGGACAGGAGAGATATGGGGAACATGATAACGACATACAAAATACTGAAAGGAATTGATAAGGTGGACAAAGACAGGATGTTTCAGAGATGGGACACGGCAACAAGGAGACACAGTTGGAAGTTGAAGACACAGAGGAATCACAGGGATGTTAGGAAGTACTTCTTCAGCCACAGAGTAGTCAGGAAGTGGTATAGTTTGGGAAGCGATGTAGTGGAGGCAGGATCCATACATAGCTTTAAGCAGAGGAATGATAAAGCTCACGGTTCAGGGAGAGTGACCTAGTAGCGACCAGTGAAGAGGCGGGGCCAGGAGCTTGGGCTCGACCCCTGCAACCTCAACTAGGTGAGTACAACTAGGTGAGTACACACACAGTCATACACACATACACACACACACACAAATACACACACACACACATTCATAAACACACACACAGTGTTTTTGAGGGCTATGCAAGTGTTCTGCAAGGGTTGCTAAGTGTGTCAGGGTAGTGAACAATCCTAGAAGTGATTTTTAATCTGCCTGAGCCACATAAGTGTGGGGAGAGCCACAATTTTGTAAGTGATCTAGAAAATAAAAACGTTGTGGCGCAGAGTGGGCAGGCTAGTGTGTAAGGCGACGTTGTCAAGTGTCACCCAAGAAAGATAATAAAGTGAAACAATCGTGCGACCAGTGAGAGAAATACAGTGAATAGGGTACATTATTAACGAGAAGAAATTGAGGTGGATCTACGCCAGGACGTACATCGAGCTGGATCTACGCCAGGACGTCACATCGAGCTGGACAATCTACAGTGCTACAGCTGCACTACAAGTACTGTATCACCTATGAGTGGTTGTTTGGGTGTGGGGTTCCAGGTTCCAATTAACCGCCAAGCTGAATGTGAATGGTCTAACTCTCATAGCACGATAAAGAATAGGCACTCAAGTATTCAATAAGGAATAGGAAATGGTAATCCATTGAACAAGGCGATTAACTTACTATAAGCAGGTCGAGCATAGGCAACATTGTAAGTAGGTGAGCGTAAGTCTCAGCAGGGTGGGAGTCAGGTCACAAGAGGTTGTGGACACAAGCGACAACTGAGAATCCACATTACACTCCAAGCACATGCCACCTACTTTTCAGACACATAATAAACCCACACATAATTCGACAAATAATTACACACACACACACACATACACACACACACACACACACACACACACACACACACACACACACATATATATATATATACACACACATACACAAACACACACACACACACATATATACACACACATACACAAACACACAGACACTCACACACACACCACACACATACATACACACACACACACACACACACACACACACAATGTAAGTACGTGCCGGTAAGTCCCAGGAGGTTGGGGGTCAGGTCACAAGAAGTTGTGGGCAGCCAAGGACCACTGAGACTTACATTACAATGCACAAGCCACCTACTTTTCAGTACATAATAAACCCACACATAATTCCACACAAAATTACACACAAAATTACACACACACACACACACACACACACACACACACACACACACACACACACACACACACACACACACATGAGATGATCGAATATGTAGCAACAAAATGCAAGGAGGCTGAGGAGAGGTTTGTACCCAAGGGTAACAGGAATAATGAAAAAGCCAGGATGAGCCCATGGTTTACCCAAAGGTGCAGGGAGGCAAAAACCAAGTGTGCTAGGGAATGGAAGAAATATAGAAGGCAAAGGACCCAGGAGAATAAGGAGAACAGTCGTAGAGCCAGAAACGAATATGCACAGATAAGAAGGGAGGCCCAAAGACAATATGAAAATGACATAGCAGCGAAAGCCAAATCTGACCCAAAACTTTTGTACAGCCACATCAGGAGGAAAACAACAGTCAAGGACCAGGTAATCAGGCTAAGGAAGAAAGGAGGAGAGACAACAAGAAATGACCGTAAAGTATGTGAAGAACTCAACAAGAGATTCAAAGAAATGTTCACAGAGGAGACAGAAGGGACTCCAGAAAGATGGAGAGGTGGGGCACACCACCAAGTGCTGGACACAGTGCACACAACCGAGGAAGAAGTGAAGAGGCTTCTGAGTGAGCTAGATACCTCAAAGGCAATGGGGCCAGATAACATCTCCCCATGGGTATTAAGAGAGGGAGCAGAGGCGCTATGTGTACCCCTAACAACAATATTCAATACATCTATCGAAACAGGGAGATTGCCTGAGGCATGGAAGACAGCAAATGTAGTCCCAATCTTTGAAAAAGGAGACAGACATGAAGCATTAAACTACAGACCAGTGTCACTGACAGCAACTGGCTCCTTGAATTTAACCCTGCCAAATGCAAAGTCATGA